CCATAGTTCAAAGGCCTCAATTCTTTGGTGCTCAGCTTTTCTTACAGTCCAACTTTCACAGCCATACATTGCAACTGGGAAAACCATAACAGAAGTAGAAGGTTTCAAAAGTCAAATGAACAGTATTTGGAAATCTATTGACAACCAATGCATTACAACATCTACAACATTGATGTATTATGTTTGAAGCAGTTCTTGATTGCCAGTACATAGCCAGCTGCATTTTGCAGCAATGAGGACCCAGATTATTGGGGGCAATATTCTGACTCTCTAAACTGCTTAGAGAGGGCTGTAAAACACTGTAAAGTGGTATATAAGTCTAAGTGCTATTGCTATTGCTAATTTCAGTTTTCAAAGATAGTCCCAGACAGTATATTACAGTATCTATCCTCTGATGATGAGAGCATGAGTTACCACTTCCAGGTCCTTTCATCATAGATATGAACAACAATTGGCACATCAGTCATACATGTTTATCAGGGCAAAAGGAAAAATTAAAATGGCCCTATAAATAAAGAATACATAATTCTTAAGAGCATCTGGAGGGTTATAAGTTGCCTGTGCTGGTTCTATAATAAAGTATGTTTGCTTAAAATGAATTATTTTTAATTGTATTTATCTACATTTAAAATGTAATTATGGTTGATATTGCTTTATACCATATCTAGTACTTTTGTATACTGGCAATATATTGGCAGTATATTTATATTCTCTGTGTGAATGGAAATAAGATTGTTAATTATATCCACTTTTTTCCAATTTCAAATCTGATTGTAAAATAGTACCTATTGGTTTTTGTTTTTTTTAAATGTGGTTGATTATGCATTACATTAAGTATGTTTTATTGACAGGTGTTCTCAGCGTAGCAATAATGCTAAAGTAAATAAAGATTGTGAATTCATTGACAAGCATACTAGTAGTTTCTTTTCTGCTTTATTAACCCAATTTAAAAATAACATAATTATTGATTTGTACCCAGATCCTCCTGTAAGTGGCTAAAAATTAGCCATAGGATCCAGCATTGTTACATGATTACATTTTTTAAAATATTGTTTTGTTGTAATTTTGTTGTGTTTTATTAGACAGTTGTATTTATGTATGACAGGTCCAAAATCATCTAGACAGCTTTCATGGCTAAGGGGGAGCTAGAATTCACGTGTTCTTCAGGTTTCTAGCTTGTGCCTTACCCACTAGACTAGAGGAGACTTGCCAAATTTAACTTGGTATGCATTTTATATCTAAAATACACGATCAACATTGTACTTTACATGCAACAGCCAACTGTCATTCTAACTAGTCTAACTAGATTCTTTGTAATCAGACTGATCTCAGTTTTTTGTCGTTTTGTACTCTATAAATATGCAGTATGCCCATTTTACATGGTTATTTGATCATGAAAACTAGATTATGGTCTGTTAGTTTTGCTAATAAAATATCAACAAACGCATTCTATATTGTTATTTATTTGATGATTTAAAAATGAATTAAGAAACCTTGATATGTTAGTTGTTATAAGTATTAAGCAAATGAAACGAAAAGTTGTGGTTTATGTGCTGCTTATAATTGAACTTTACAAATGTTCCTTATTTATAGATAACATAAACTTTGAGAAATAAAATTTGATATGACGGCAAAAGAACGTCAGATACAGTCAACTAGGTCCTCCTACCTCTGCTACCATTTCACATTCCCTTCGTGTTTGCCAGGCTGTGCTTTCTCTAATTTGCCCTCCCCATTGAGTCCAGGACACTCAGAATGGGCTGCTTTTCTTTCCCATTGACTTTCCATTGTAGAGCTTTGCAACAAAAAGTAGGATCCAAACCATGTTTTCTATTGTCCAATCAGAACCACCAGCTTCACTGCGATTCTAATTGGTTTGCTCCGGGCCACGGTAGCCAATCAGCGTGCAACTTTAATAACCAATCGGCTTTCGAGCTTCCATCCAATCGCATGCAGGATGCGGGGAAACTGTCTTTGTATCAGCTAACGTCATGGCGCCGGCGAAAGCAGATGCCAATAGCTCCGCGCGTTGCGTGTCTATATTGTGACGGCATGACGTTTTAGGTTCCCTCCCTCTATAAAGACAGCATCCCAGCAGAGGGAGGGGACAGTTAAGGTTTGTAGTAAGACCGCGCGGTACGTGTTATTCGTCTATTCACAGCGGAAGTGTGGTTGTTTTTTTTTTAAAAAAGGATTTGTTCGCGAAAGAGGTGAGTTTCGGCTGGGAGCGAGCGTGTGGGGGGGGGGACAGTGAAAGTGGGGAGAAAGAAAGGGAGTCTCCGTCCTTTGGGGAGCAGATTTTGTGAAAAATGGGTGGAGGGAAGAGGTGGAAGGCCGCTTTGTTCTTGGTCGGCCGCTTAAGGAAAGGCCGGAGACTTCATGCCGGCGGTAGTAATGGGAGCAGAAGGGAAGGAACAAAATCGGGCTTCCTCTCCGGCGTCGCGCGTGGGCAAGCAAGCCGGAGAGAGAGCAGCTCCTGGCGGTGCGCCGCGCTGGCTGAACCCTCCTTGGCCCTGTGCCCGCATGGAGGAGGACTCCCCCCTCCTTCCCCGACATCTGCCGCTGCCGTTCCCCTCCCGCCAAAGCATTTCCCTCTCGGGGAAGAGGAGCAACGAGTATAAGGCGGCTGGAAGTGCCGGAAAGCCCACCTAGGCCTTCGGATCGACCTTGGGGAATTTGGAGAAAGCTGCCCCCATCCGTCCGTCCATCGGATTTTCTTTTCTTTTCAGAAGAGTGTGAAGAAAAATGGCCCGTACCAAGCAGACTGCTCGTAAATCCACTGGTGGCAAAGCTCCACGTAAACAGCTGGCTACTAAAGCTGCTAGGAAAAGCGCCCCCTCTACTGGCGGAGTCAAGAAACCTCATCGCTACAGGTAATAAGACAAAACCGCCTGGAATGTGTTTTTTAGGACAACCGCCAAGCCGATCTGTAGAAATAAAAGGATTAAGGAGGGAGTGGTGTGTGTTGTAACAAAGTTAGCTTTTGTCGCTGTGATTCTAGTGTTAGCCTTGCTTTAACTATAAATGCCTCACAGCTGTTGTCAGCAACCAGGCAACCCTGCCAAGATTCTGTGGTGTATCTTTATGTCTTTGAAACTATTTTGAAAGACGTATTTAGAAATTGTTATGTGCTGTGAACAGACTGCCTTACTCTCTCTCTCTCTCNTGGTCCTTTTTAGGTTTATAGTTTGCTTTTTGTGGTTGTACACCACCCAAAGTCATGTTGTTGAGTTGCACAACCGCATAAGTCCAGTGATAAATAAAACAAGTAAACAAATAAGTAGATTTTCTTCAGATATCATATACTGCATCCTAATTCCTCACCAGCTTGACTGAATGTGTGAAAGTTACTGGCATCTAAGGTCTGGAGGGCAAGACATTGAGTATGGCGGTTTTAAAACAATTTGGTTTACTTTGGTCTGCAACATTATCCTTAAGGATCCTTTTGTAACACCAACTTCTTTGCCAAATTTTACAGACTCTACCAGTTATGTCAACCCCCTGCAGATGGAGACTTGTAAGAGGAAAAGAAACAGATTATCTTGGAGTCACAGAAGGGTTCAGCAGATAGCAATTCTGCCTGAGTACTGTCATGCCAGTGGTGCTGAGTCCAGAAGATGGGACAGTCCCGTTTTCTATTTTTTAGGTACTCTAGTGCACTAGGGACTTCTCTTTCCCCTTGTTTCCTGCGAAATTACGAGAGCAGGCATGCTTAATGTCTCTGGGCTCGATGCAGAAGTTCTTCAAAATTGAATCTCCAGGGGATGGATGGAAGAATCACCTGTCTCAGGTTGCCTGACATGGAACATTGTGGATTCTGAATTTTGGATGGGCACAGATGATCCAAGCTAATGCAAACCTACCTGCCATGGTGTTTGGACTACACAGAGTTTCTAGCAAAATGTTGGCCAGTTGCCTTGAATAAGAGTCTCACAAACACTCACTTGCACTTTGAAATTTTGAATGGCACACATTCTCTGGTTTGTTCAAAGAATTTTTCATTTCCTATTAATATAAACAAAGCTCAACTCTATAAAATACACATTCCATGAGACTTTCTACAAGAAATTCCTTTTAATTTTTACTGTAAAATTCAGAAGTTAACACATTAAAAAAAAACTAATGGTCCATTATGTATTCTGGAAATACAGTTATATTTTACCAGTGAGAATAACAATGAAGGATTTTTTTTTAAAAAAAAAGTTGTTACAAAAGAGAAGCAAGATGCAGCTATTTGCTTCAATAATTTAAACATGTGAAGGTTTTTGAAGCAAGGACAGAAATATACTTATTTATGTGGCATAGAAGGTCTGTTTCGGAATATGTTACTATATATGCAAGATTTAAATAAAAAAAGTATTTGTTTCAAAGGGGCCAATAGACTGGTAGCTATGTAGTAGTTTACTGAAAATATTATTGTGATATTTAAAACGTTGCAGTATTTAAGTAGACTTTAATCATTTTTTTAAAAAAATAGAATACAATTAGGTTGTAATTTAAAACAAAAATTTGGTTGTGTATATAATGTACTTAATTTTTTCCAATTTTAGAAATGTTTTTAGTTTGATCAGGATGATTACTGGAATGGTGATTTACTTTTAAATTACCATCTGCAATGGTGTTTTTTTTCCTAAAAAAAAAAAAGAGCAATCTCAGGCCAGAAATAATGTTTTCGTGGAGTGAGTGCCTTAAATTAATTATCCAAGTCGGTCAAGTGACTAGGATAAATTAAGAGGAATAAAACTAATACTTGTCTATATCAATAATAATTTAACAGCATAATATGCTGGAAAATGCATATTTCTGGGCATGCATAGAAATTCCTTAAAGTGACTTATGGTATTTAAGGCATGCAGAAAAGAATTGCGTGGTGAGGGAGGGAGTCTGATGGGGGCATTTAATAAGCGTCAGTGTTTGCTAATAATAAAAACTTTATTTTTTATGTGTTACACTGAAAATGGCCCCTCTGCTTCTACTCTGGGTGAGGAAGTTGATGAGGAAGAAACATGCTGTCATATCTGAATTTATTTGAGATTCTCGTTAAACGTACAATTTCATTTCTGATTGGTGCATAAGACTCGTTTATTTGTATTAGAATAAATAACCGTCACATAACTAAATGGCCAGCAGATGGCAGTCTTAGGCTTCTTGGTGAAAACCACTGTACTACCCCCCCTCCGCAAAATGGATTTTAAAAAATCCATTTTAGTTGGAAAAATAACATTTAATAGTTGCTTTTAATAAGTTACTGAATGGGACTCATTTAAAGTTAGTAAAATTTTCTGGAAGATTTGCTCAGCAAACTGGAGTAATCGTCTTAGTCCATGCTGCTTGGATGCTATAATTGAAACATAACAGTTTATTCTCCCCATTATATACAGTAACATGGTGAGCATCCAAATTATAGGCTCATTTCAAATAGTTTATCCAGGATAGAGACTAATATTTTACACGAGACTTTCTCAGCAAATTGCATCTAAGTGTACAACCAACGAAGCTTGTCTATACGTGATTGCTGAGCTAGGGAAAAATTAGATTGGAATCTTAAGTGTTGCATCGATTAATCTGCATGGCCCAGCATCAATCAATCTGCCTTGTGCCCTTCAGTTTCATTGAGACAATTGTGAAGTTTGATTCATGTAACTAATATTGGGGCCTAATTAGAATGTCAAGAATTTTATTGGCGCTCTTGCCTCCCATACACCCCATTGAATGTAAACATCATGTACCATAGGCTCTTCTGCCGGAGTAATGTACAAGCATGAAACGCCTTATGGGATAGTTAAGGATTCTTTTCAAAGGAACCAGTTGCTTGCTGTTTGGCTTAATTCACATTTTTCATCTTCAAGTCTGCACATTTTGAATTGTTGAGGATATTGTATAATGGCATGTGAGAATTCACCAAGGCTGCAGTCTATATTTTCTTAAGCATTGTCCAGTGCACAGAAGTGAACATAGAGAAGAGAAAGTAGAAGTACAGCTCTTGCAACAACATTTGCACATTTGGAGAACGCCTGCAAACCAGAACCAGGTATATATTATGACATTGAAAAGATCACAAGACCTTGGGATAGGTTCAGTAGAAGAGCAAAAGCGTGGTGACAGATACCAACTACAGAGAGCATGGTGTAGAGCTGTTTTTGCTACTCCAGCTGAACTCACTACCATGTCCTAAATTCAGTCTTTTACATCTAATTCTCCAGATAATGCTGGATGTCAGCTTCCAGAATCCTTAGCTGTAGCAGCCATTGCCTAGTAATGCTTAAGTAGCTGCTGTCACACACCGTTGCTCTGTAGAGGGTTAGACTTGGGTAGCATAGTACAGGGGTCCTCAACCTTGGCAACTTTAAGACTTGTGGATTTCAGCTCCCAGAATTCCTCAGCCAGCTTCACCAGCTAAGAATTCTGGGAGTTGAAGTCCACAAGTCTTAAGATTGCCAAGGTTGGAGACCCCTGGCATAGTAAGCGTTAGGTGAAATTTCCCTTTGCAATTACATTGAACATCCATTGCATGTTTTTCATGGTTTCCTCCCTTAGAAGCCTGCAACTGACAGTTCCCCAATCACAGCACTGAAACAGGCTCCTGGAAGCTCCCTTACTCATCTCTGTCATACACAGTAAAGGAGCAATTGCTTCTCTTTATAATAAACTTATATGGGATTTTTCTGAAGACATTGGCTTTGCCAATCTGGGGAAGTAACAGAACATATTTTTATAGCAATATGTAACTGGCATTTTCAGATGTACTGTATGTATATAAAAAGTACACCGTCCTGGTAAAGTCCGCTCCAGTTGCTTTCTTTCATTTTTCCTTGCTGTATTGCTAATGGTATGTATATGTGTATGTGATAAGATAAATGAGGTAATACATCTGATGTCTAACCTATTTTGTCCATTCATTGATGATCCATGTGGTTTCTATTGGTGCTGGCTTGTTTGCCTCTCAAATTGGTTACTCTCATAACTCAATAGAAAACTGATGAATCAAATTTTGTTTTTGTTTTCATTAATCTCTCAAGCAGATATTTGTCTGTTATGAAATGGCAGTTCCCACAGAAAAGTTCCTTTTAAAACTATGTTTTGTTTTGTTTTTAAAGTTGCCATTTCCTGGTTTTATAAACATGATGGGAGAAGATTTTAATTCCTCTCTTTTCTGCCAGACCTCTTAGCTGGGAAAGTGGGTGTTTCATTAACTCTGAGGATCCTTACTGACCTAATGAAGAGAATAATATGGAAAAATTGGCATTTGATTCAGACATTACGTTACTGTGAGTTTGGGTTTCACTTTCAGGGCCCTTTCCCATTAAATTTGCAAATATCTTCACTAAAAACTGGTGGAGAACTTTGTTCAAAAAAGAATGCAGCCCATAATCCAGACCAGGGTCCCAGGGGTCTAGATGAAAATGCAGTATATGATACAGTGGTGGAATTCAAATTTTTTTTACTACCGGTTCTGTGGGCATGGTGTTGCTTGGTAGGCGTGGCTTAATGGGACCGGCAAGGGAAGGATACTGTAAAATCTCCATTCCCACCCCTCTCGGGGGACCGGGAGGCACTTCAGATAGTCACTCATGCCCTCGCTACCTCAAGACTGGATTACTGTAATGCGCTCTACACGGGGCTGCCCTTGAAAAGTGTTCAAAGCCTTTAGCTAGTCCAGAATGCAGCCGCGCGAGCGTACATAGGTTCACCCACATTACACCTATCCTCCGT